CTAACATTATATTTTAACGACTCGGCATAAAAATTTACATCCCTATCAGTCAAGCTAATTATGTGACCCTCTAAGCTTACTTGAGCCTGGGCGTTACCTTACCTTCGTCTTGTAACAGGCACACGTATTTTTCAGGGTATTTTTAGGGAAAAAAGTGCGTCTTGTAAGCCGGAAAATACGGCAAATGAATAATTTATAATCTCGAGAACCAAAAGTGTCGGCGGCGGCGAAAACACTCGTGTCCGACTTTGGTTCATTCGATACATCTATGATACTTGAAACCGACATGTTTCAGGGGGTCAAGTCGGGAATGCTGTAGTCTCGGGGGTTGATTACATGGTAGGATGTTTGATTGCGGTACAAAAACAACCCTTACCTTTTTGTAAACACACTATCTCCAACCACACAACCAGCGTAAATAAGCATTTTCAAGGTTATTAGCATAAGTAAACTTGAACTATATTCGAATAAAATTCCTCCAACTACTCAAAGAGAATTAATAAGTAACCAACAGATCATAATAGTAAAACACCACTAACCTACTCGGATACACACTTCCTCCAACCACTTAACCAGAATAAATAATTTTAAAAATTTTGATCATAAGCTATTTAAACTATATGAATACACAATTTCACCAACTACCTAACGGACTTTAATAAGCAACCTAGGGATCATGATATCATATACCACAAAGCAACTTGCATACACACTTCCTACAACCACTCAACCAGAATGAATGATCATTTTTAGTGCTGATCATAAACGATTTAAACTATATGTATACACAATTCCACGAACAAACCAACGAATATTAATAACAATTCCAGAGATCATTATCACAAACAGACCTAACGTAATTGCATACACACAGCCTCCAACCCCACAAGCAGAAAAAAATGATAATTTTGAAGATCATCTTCATAAATGTGTTTAAACGGTTTGTATACCCAATTACGCCTACTACCCAACAAATATTAATTAATAAAATAAAGATCATGAACTTAAGTAAACTGATATTTCTATACGCACTTTCTCCAACCACCCAACCAGCATTAATAAGCAAACTAAAGATGATAAACTTAAATAAACTCAAGCTATTTCCATACGCACATTCTCCAAACTCCCAACCAGCATTAATAAGCGAATGAGTGGCTTGTTAGCTGCTCGTCGTAATGGGTATGGCCATAATTCCGATTTAAAAGTACTGCATTAATTAAACCTGCGTTAGTCTCCTCTGATTTCCGAAAAAGTATTGACCCCATACGTTTGCCTCCTACGACAACAGCTCTACAACTACGCTACAGTGCTTGCTAAACCTTCTCACTCAAGAGAGTAGAAGGAGGGGGCCAAATATGAATTCGAGTACTTTGAAAATTTGGAGGTTAACAAAACACCCCCTGTGACTAAGGCAGGGTAAACAGAGAAAGCAATACACTGAGGTGAAAGTGCTTTGATCGCTAGATCGTCCACGGGGATTTGGCGTTAGGCTCTTACAACATTTCGTCTTTTTTTTTTTTGGCAGATCTATTGATAAGCAAACTCTAGAAGTAATAAGCTTAACTAACCTTAATGTATTTGTATTTGTCAGTGTTATTGTTTTATTTGTGTCAGTTTTGAAATAACTTGAGAGAGCATGTCTAAATTAAAAAAACAAAAACAAACATGCAGGACCGCAGATCTACAATAACACACTACCTGCATTCGAGATTAGATGTAAAGGTGACGGCACGGGAATAAATATTTGATCGTCTAATATCAGTTAGCAAGAAAAAAGAAAAAAGTGGTTGCATTGACAATCAAAACTAAATGCAACTAAACTGAGCTATAATAGAGAAAGAAATTCTGTGGCACACACTGAATATGTAATAACATACTCTTGTGTATCGAATTACACACACACACACAGACATATATATATATATATATATATATATATATATATATATATATATATCTGTCTATATTTCTGAGATGAGGTATTATGTACACTATTTACATTATTCGGACAACTGTCCACATTTTTGTCGCCATATTTATTACAACGTCTCGGCCTTTCAGTATCTGTCTATATTTCTGGGATGAGGTATTATGTACACCATTTACATTATTCTGACTATTGTCCTTATCTTTGTCACCATATTTATTACAACGTTTCGGCCCTTCAGTATCTATATTTCTGAGATGAGTTATTATGTACACTATTTACATTATTCGGACGATTGTCCTCATCTTTGTCACCATATTTATTACAACGTTTCTGTCCTTCAATATCTGTCTATATTTCTGTGATGAGGTATTATGTACACTATTTACATTATTCGGACGATTGTCCTCATCTTTGTTGCCATATTTATCACAACGTTTCGACAGTTGTACGCATCGGCCTTCTTCAGGTGGTTGGAATGTCGAACTGAACCCTTTATTTCGCTCACTGGTGTAGACTGTTCTTGTTTCAGGTGCCATGTCTAATGGATGTCAGTTATCAGTTATCTCCTGTTAATTCCTCTCTCCAATTTCTTCACCGCCTTAACCAGGTATTGAACTCACACTCTTTGGGTCCTGTCACTGGATCTAACTAACGCCTTTATCCACTGTTCCATGTGCCCTTGAGGACATTCGACAGTCCAACTACCTGAAGGACGTCGGAGCATACAACGGCCGAAACGTTGTGATAAATATGGCAACAAAGATGAGGACAATAGTTCGAATAATGTAAATAGTATATATATATATATATATATATATATATATATATATATATATATATATATATATATATATTAAAATTTAAATTCAAACTCAGCGTTGCGACCGCACGTTCCAGAACAATAACACATTTCTCATAGCATTTTTTCGGATTACATCTCTATTTTCGTTGTCCTCTTATTACCGAGAAGTAAAAAACAAGAACAAAATCTATTTCCATACCTGATGATGTCTGTAGGAACAGACGAAAGCTTGTAAAAAATTAAAAAGACCTTATGCAACTGTAATTTGTAAACAGGGATCATATCATTCATATACAGGTTCGGGGTTAGTGTAACTTATTGAAATTGTTTGCGAAGATGTATTCTCGCCATTTAAATTTCATTAACTTCTATCTTTGTTTTTTGTATGAATGATTCATGAATTTATATTCATATATATATATATATATATATATATATATATATATATATATATATATATAAGGTGACTAATAGCAACAGTGAAAATACAGATAAAAACAATAAAATTAATATTTTCTATAAAGATCATATGCATAGTAACTATAGGAAGATTAATTTTCTCTTAGAAACATTAGAAAGAAATATAAAACTCCAGTCGACAAAAACAAGAAAATTAAATTAATCTAATCATGAAAAAATTAAACTACTAACCTGATTGTCA